CTGAACGAATTACACATGTAGTTGGAAAGTTTGAACAAATAACTAATGAAAATTGATTTAAAACGCGGGACCTCCAGAGGTATGTGCACCAAGATGACGCACAACCCTGAACATAGTATGTGTATACCAGGTCAGTGTTTAAGGTTGTGCGCCATCTTGGTGCACATACTTCGGGAGCGCCGAAACGCGTGTTGGTCGATTTACACAATAACCAAAACGTTAAGATGTGTTCTTTTTAATTTAAATTAGGGTTGTGCAACCTTTAATACAGGACTGCCAGATACAAATAAATTTTCCTTGCGGCTCGCATTTGGCTCGCGGGATGCAGGTTACACGCCCTGATTTAAATACCCAATAAAAAATTATATCTATTTTTTGAATATTGATTTGAATCTTTTTCCCTTAAGTTCTAAACGGATGTACGTCACACAACTGTCACGTTAACGCCACTTGTACAAGTGTAACAATCGCAATAAATGATGCAGATGTAGTTGCAGCGGTCGCATCGTCTGTAGCTCGTCGTTCGTTCCAATGCATTTGTCGAAACGGATTCACGGGCGATGGAATCAACTGTACTGAAATAGGTGAGTAGGATTAGAATTTTAACGAGGAACAAATATGCTCAAATATAATAAAACTTTTGACTTATACTGTATATTCAATTAAAAAGCCAGCTATGAATTTTACTATCATAGTAAGAGAATTGAATGCAAACATGGATTTTTATTGAAAGTACAGAGTGTCCAAAATAGAATATTATCCAGGTCATTTGGAACAATTCTAACGGGAACATAACTTTTGCGCAAATTGTCCTAGATTTCTGAAACATTTGGGTACATTCATAAACAGTAATTCAAGTGATAAATAAATTTTTTTCAATTTCATAAAAATAATTAATAACAATGTGTTTTGTTTTGGGTTTTACCCTATAACTCCATGGTTCTTTGATATCAATTGTCTTTTTTACGTTTCCAGAAGATGTTAATGAATGTCTGTCGACCAACCTCAATAACTGCAGTATGAAAGCCAATTGCACGAACTTAGAACCTGGTTTCAATTGCACTTGTCTGAACGGATTCACAGGCGATGGGATCAACTGTACTGAAATACGTGAGTAGAAATTGAATTTTAACGAGTTATAATGTGTTCAGATAATGTTCAGTAAAACTCCTTGTTTGACTTATGTATTTACTTAAAAAGTCATCTGTGAATTTTACTATCATACGTGAGAGAATGCGAACATGGGCCAGTTTTTATGGTGGGTGCATGTTGACCCAAAAAGTATGATTTCAAATTACCTGGAACATATACCAAATAATACTGAGCTTTCGTGCAAAACTTCCTAAATTACTGAAGCTTCAAGTACGATCATGCACGAATATAAGTTCAACTGTTAGATATTATATTTATAATTTTTGTAGAAATAATTTAGCGACCTAAAATCGTTCTAAGCAAGTTTGATTAAGAAAATATATTCGCTTTGTTTTAGGATCTCTACTTTCACAAAAGTGATTGTTACTGTGTTATCAAACGTATTTTAATTATCAAACCGTCAAAGTTCCTAAGTTTTAAAATTATCTCGTATCTGAATTTCTTGTAATACGTTGACCCACAAAAACCGAAACCTTTCTCAATTTCTTCCACAAAAATAAAGAAAAAATTAATTAAATATACTTGAACTTAATTTTGTATAATCTATAATGCTTTACAAAAGAGTTATGTTCTCTTTGGAAAAAGTTCCAAATGGCTCGGGTGCCGTTTCATGGAGGTCACTCTTTATTTGGTACTCTCGAAGTATGCGGACCAAGATGGCGGACACCGGAACGTAGTATGTGCACCAGGTTAGGGTTAGACCATAATTTCACGTAAAAATACTACGCGAGTCACTTGGCTAGTCCCCTAACTTGTAATAGACCTAGAATAAAATTATGGCCTAACTCTAACCTGGGCCACATACTAGTAGTCAATGTTCTGGTTTTACTTTTAGGTTCGTTTTATTTTTTCAAACAACATAATTATTTTTTATATAGACGAGGTGACCACCACAGACAGCAAAGTTCATGAAACCACAATTCAACCTTCCCAGGGACCTGTTGTCAATGACAACACGGAACAAGTTGATATCAATGTTTCTACAACAAGTTCCGGCGTATTGATTTCAAGTAAAATATATTTAATGTTACATATAAGTGAAGTGAAGTTCTATATTCAATGTTTTTTGTGGTGTTTGAAATCGAATCATTTAAACAAAGCCCACGCCAACGCACAAAATAAGAAAATTAGTACTTATTAAGTTATGGTTGGATTAGGGTTAATAAGAAAATAGATTTCCATAGAAATTCAAATGTTTGTTCCTAACCCGAAATCGAATCCTAACTGGATAATAACTAATTCCTTATTTTAAAAACTTGGCGGGGGTGTTTTACAAATCTCGCATTTTTGCATTAGTGGTGAAGAATTTGTACGAAAGATCCTTGAAATATAACGAAGATAAAAAAAAAATTGGGAGATATTAGAGAGAGACTTAGCCCCCACGTAAATTTGTAAAGAAATTTCAATTTTCGTAACTTCTCGATTCTTGTATCAAGAATACTATACCTAACCAACTAATTGTAGCCATTTTACCATGTGACGTGAATGAAAGATTTATAAACGAACAGTGCATGCATGTCTGTTAATTTTGCAATTTAATTTTTATGTGACTGAGCAATTTAATATCCGTACTGTAAACCTTCCAGTCCTAGCTAATATCAGACAAATTTAAAAAATATATACTCATAATTTCGTGAAAATGTCATCCATAGTCTATCATTTGGCAAGCGATAGTTGTTATATGATTTCAGTCGTGATTTGATATGAGACTGCCGATAACGATCGTATAGATAAATTGTATTCTACCGCCAACTTGCGGCAACAGGATAATTGAATTATTTCAATATTTGTAGATCTCCCAGAAAACAAAAACACAAATCAAGAAAGCAATGTCACAATACTAAAAATTATTCTTCCTATTGCACTTGTGATTTTTATCTGGATTGGGTTTGCAGTAACCGTGGCCATTATTTGGAAAAGGTAAATTTCAGAGTCGTTGTTTTGTTTTATACGTAACGTATCATGCCATTTGACATACACATTTTGGGTACTACCGAAGTATGCGTACCAAGATGGCGAACACCGGAACGTAGTATGTGTACCAGGTTAGAGTCAGACCATAGTTTTATGTACAAATACTACGGGAGCCACCTGTCTAGTCCCCGAACTCGTAATAGAACTAAAATAAGGAAAATCCGCCATCTTGGTACGCACACTTCAGGAGTACCCATTTTTTATATCTAATGTTGAACTACTTTTCTAGTTATGTATTTGTTACTGTTAGAATTAATCACAAGTCTCTCTACAATTCTACATGATACCCACTATAGGTTTTTGGCGCCTTTTTCACCATTTTTACTTTAATTTTTATATTCCGTCACGTCATGCACTGTTGCATTTCGCCGATCGCTTTGGATTACGAATTGTTCATTTTAACTCTGCAATTGAATTTTCTCGAACATATGCAACATGTCTAACTGCTTATAAATATTATAATAGGTATAATCGAGGAATAAGTAGAAATACATCACATACATCGAAGACTTCTAAAAACTCTACAAATACTACAAGTTCTACAGGTACTATGGAGCCTTCGCCAGCTTACGACGACGGATACGGCCAATCGACTATCTACGAGCCTACATCCGTATACATGGACACCATGGAAGCAACAGAAGAGCAGTCTTATTATTGTGAAATAAAGTAAAACTAAAAATATAAGTATGCACCAATCACAGAAGAGGAAACGAAAATTAAAATATCATTTAAAAAAAAATGAAAAGATAATAAATCATATATTCAGGGAAGAATTACAGACAAGACAATCAAAGTAATGCGAAAAATAATTCGAATAGCTGACATCACAATTTGAGGGCTTTACAAAACTTAAAAAACATTTTTTTTTGCGTAAATGCTTTTTGAAACAGTGTTCATTTTTTTTTATTCAATTTCCTCGGAAAGCAAAACCCACTCGAAAAATTAACAATGAAAAAGACCAATAGCAAATATATAAAAAAAAGGGGGTGGCTTACAATAAAAACGGTTGAAGGAATGTAGAAAATAAATGAATAATATTTTATCTAGAAACAGTCTACATTTTCTAATTGGACTTTGGTAATTACATTAGTACAGATTTTTTGCTTGCGAGTATTTCTCAAAAAAAGTTTTCAAAACAGTGCGATTTTATAGGTTTTATAGATTAATTTTAAAGCAAAATCTAGTATTGAAATGAACAAAAAGATATCGTTCTCGGTTTATTTGGGTAGAAAGGAAAAAACTTCCTAATTGAAGATTGTATGTATTTCAGTAAGCTTTCGTCATATAGTCCACAGTGTAATTGCACCATTTTTTTTGAAATTAGTATTTATGTAACTAAAGTGTATATAAGTAAAATAGATAGAACAAGAATCAAGAAATAAATAAAGGTAGTCTTTTGGCTACGATGTTCATTATAGAACTCATTTAAGTATTTATTATTTTTTGCTCCTTAACCTATACAGCAAGTTTGGTAACCTGTGAGCGTTTAGAAGCAAAGTATCTTCATTTTAATTGGTCAATGTAGTGATATAGTCTGATAGTTTAAAGTAAATTGGATCAACAATCAAAAACTAAATAAACTTTGGGGAAGGAGTCTTCTGACTACGATGTTCATTATAGAACACCATGTAGAGCCCTTCATTAAATTTTGATCCTCAATATATACAGCAGTTTGGTATATATATTTATTATATTTCCGGCTCTTCCTTTTACGTATAGTTTGTTACCCTGGAAGTACCGTTGAGGGAGAGGTGCTCCCGAAGTATGTACACCAAGATGACGCACAACCTGAACCCTAACCTGGTTCAACTACTATGTTCAGGTTATGCGCCATCTTGTTGCACATACTTCTGGAGGTCCGAGGGAGATAATATACTAAGAGCTGTTCCTGACTGTAATTTCATGATCATTCCAATTTTGACAAATGTATTCCTATATGTAGTGAGTGATAATATCGGACTCTACGTCGAACTATGGCTTGAGTCGTCCGCTTTAATTTGATTTTCATGCCCGGCGGAATGGTTTGGTTTATCTAGCGGCATATCATGGTATATTCTGTCGTATGAAGGAGGTGGCTCTCTTATCACTCTAGTAGAACGGGTATTGCGAGTCTGAAATATTTCTTCTGCGCTTCTGGGCGAGGATCTGAAATTGAAATATTTCACTTTAAAACTAATTTTTATATATTCGACGTAATTATCCGCCTTTCATGTTATAACCTGGTCATTTGAAAAAGGTACTCTCGTAGTATGTGTACAAGGTTAAGGTCAAGCCATAACTTTCCATAACTTTTCTGTGGAGCGTTTCCACCATTTTCGCAGGAAAATGTTTTTTTTGTATCTTCTAATTAAGAATGTGACGTCATATTGCCATGAAAACAAAGGTATAATAGAAACTAAGGCGCCCTAATGCCGTTATAAATACTATAAAACTACCCAAGCGATGTGAAAGCGTGTACATTGACAGGTAAACTATGAACTTAGAAAATGAATTTACCTCTTCCGAACCATCACTACAACAGCAGCGATTATTCCTGCCAGTGCTAATGCTGAGAACAATGAGGCGACAACGATGACAATTATACTTGTTCCACTATTCTCGGGTAATGGAGCATTGTTTGCTGTAAATAAATAGTGAAGATATTAAGAGCTTGAAGGCGTATATAGTAAAGTAGGGGTGGGCAAAGTTTTTAGACCACGTACCAAAAATGTCGCGACCTAGACTGGCGGGCCAAACGTGAAAAGTTACGCGGGTCGTACTTTACCCACCCCTGTACTGAAGTATTGCTATTGTCTATACAGGTAACAAATTGGAGTACAAATAAATTTAATTCTACAATATAGCAAACAGGAGACTTCTTACGTATTACGTATTACTGTTTGCTTGTACAGATCTATGTTCGGAGTGAAATTGTGCTGGCGATGAAAAGTTGGACGAATACCCAACTAATGATCACTTGGCCGCCAAGTGAAATAAAGTGGATAAAAAAGCGAAAAACTGGAACTGATTAAATAAAACTAAAAGTGTGAAAAATTGGCAGCATCTATCTGCCTCAAGCCACGCCCCTATTTAAAAACTCGTTGATGGAAACTCAGCGGAGCTTTCTCACTCTGAAGTGATTTCAAAGAAAATAATGGTTTATGTAAAATGGATTATTTTAAGTTTGATGTAATTCAATTATGTGAACATAAAAGCACTACATGCCGTTTTCTATTTGAGCATATTCTTGGGTCACGAGACCAAATATAATTTATCTTTTGTTTAAAGTTGGGTTGCTTGAAAAAAGTTTGGGTACCACTTCTCTATACGGGCGGTCAATTATTGTTTCAGATTTTCTAGTAAGTACAGTAAGATATCGAGTACAATACATATTTAATTGTTTTCGTTTAATACTCAAATTATTGTCTGAATATATGTCGGTTATTTTATACTTTTCGTACCGTATCGAATTAAACATATGTTTAAATATTTTCGAACAGTTTTTGAGTAACTATGCAATTCAAGAGTCCTGCTACACACTAACATAAATGTATTTCTGTAACGTTTCGTCTGACATATAAAACTTCCCCAGACAAGCAATTTACAACAATGAATAAAATAGAATTTCAAATCCTGAACTATCTATTTCTCGATTAATATCTTACCACTTGTGGTGACATCTACACTATCCATGCTTTTATCCAACGTCAAGAGAAGTTATTTGTCGCTCGGATAAAAAAAAATATCCAAAAGTTAGATTATATTTATCACCAATACCACACAATCTTAGAACAAATCAGAGATATTTTGAAGAAGTCACAAGATTAATACACAGTAATACTTTATCCGAAATTTTCGTATATTCTACACACTAACCGCATAGGTATCTATATAAATATGCAGCGACGAAGAATATCTCTGTGTCCCAGTAAACGATACCCAGTGCGAGAGCGTAGTCAAACACAGAGTGCGGTATTTAGAGATCCTTATAACATGCTTTTAGCAAATCAGTAAAATATCTGCTATTTTGAGGTTAACAACAAATGGATATATAATTAATTTTTTTTATAACAAATCGCGCAAGTGTTTTTCCACGTTCATAAACACCAAGTTTTGTTCGCCTCTAAGGTAACTCAAAAATTTATATAGAATACCAGGTTAATGAACGATTATTTTTTACAGTACCTAAGCGATAACTGTTAAAGTCACTAATTAACAGAAAGATGCGACGTCACAATTTTTATTTACTTAATCCAGAAGGAATATAAATCATAATTCTGTATCCAAAAACAAACACGGACCAAACATAAAAAAAACCTGAATTATGTTGGGGGTCACAACAGTGGAACAACACTTTTAGGAAAATTCGTATAATTTGTATTATTTAGTGGTAATTCAAAATTATCCTCGAAAATATAGAATGTTTATTGTGCAAATATGTATGGAGGTAAATAGTATCGCAGGGGTCGGCAACCTACGGCCCGCGACGCTTCACTGAATTATAGTAACAAATTATAGCTGTTTTGTCGATTATATTGTTTAAGCAAAAGAATTTACGTGTAGACTAGATTGTATTATAACGTAACAAGTATATAATTCACAATTACTCGTTTAATGAGCCTATAATTTAATTATAATTTAGACAAATGGCAACAAAACGCAGAAAAGTTGATGCTAAGTGCAAATGGTTTAATGGCGCAAAAAATATTCAAATGATCAGTCTTCGCGCGCTGCTTGAAATTTAACTTCTGATCTGTGTGATAAAATGTGATTCATCTGTCATCCATACGATTTTTAACTTTCTAAAAATATGTGCGGCCCGCCAATGACTTGCAACCTTTAATTTTGGCCCGCGAGCAACAAAAGGTTGCCGACCCCTGTAGTATCGATATGATTTATTGAGTATTGAGTCCGATATTGAAAGCCGATGAAACATGCCATACTAATGCAGAATTGTGGCATTGAATAAAAATATAAGACATCATACTGCTCACTCGTGGCGCGAAAGCGTGCCATGGGATGCTGAAGCGAAAGCTTCAAACAGCACATTTATCTAATTTATTGATATTCATGGGAAGCGATAGCTGCAATTAATGAGATCGCACAGAGTAGGCTTTGGGTTACAACAATCTATGCAGGGTAAGTATGCCCGCGCTAAATCTAGGTGTAAAATTATTAAATTTAACCATTGAAAATTTTAACCATATATGAGTCAGCGTGTTTCTTTTGTACACGACAGATTTTCAAGTTAAATAACACCGATCGTTTATTTGTCTTTGATTAAAAAGGTTTCAAAATGTGAAAACGAATATATATTTTTTTTAAAAAATATTAATTTTCCGCTATTATCCTTATACCTCTCAAACTAGACTCATCGCAATCCGTATCACAAAGGGCCTCGCATCGGTTAAGGACAGCTATGAGATCGCACATGGAATCAGTATCTACCGTGGTTCAATATGTAGTGCGCGCCGCTGTACGCAGATAAGAGGGATGAGAATTCTTGATCACTGTTACCTTCAGGGGCGTTTCTCTTTACTCCGGTACGCAGAAGACTTGAGTTTCGTTACGTCAACTGTGCGAGTGGATGGAAATGCAGAAAAATGAAAGACTTTTTCTTACAATCTACATATTGATTTCTACAGAAGCTTTTCCTATCTCAATTATGTACAAAATAAAGGGTTTAACTCTGTTACTCGTAAGCCCTCGGGTTTCGTAACGACAGCATTGAGAGCACCGATAAAAATGTAGAAAAATAGAAGCGTTTTCTGCGTACAGTCTTCATATGGAATTCTACGAAAGCTTTTCCAATTTTAAGTATGTACACGACAAAAGGTTCGCGAATTTTCTTTCAGAAAATTATGATAATTGTATAGACAAGAGTGGACAGTATATGGACATAAATGAAGATTTGAACTTCAGAACAACCTACGACATCAGCAGTAGTGTTTCAAAATTTCATGAAATGTTTGTACTTACTTGATACCAGACCCTGTTGAATTGCATTGAATTGCATGGTTTATATACATTAACTGTGAATCTTAGTTAAGTTGGGGGGGGGGGGGGGCTGACTTTGATGACCTTGTGGTCGTATCGCTTTTTTCCAGTTGATACCGAATTAAAATATTATGCATATATTTTATTGTACCATTGATTGTTTTCTGGTTGACGAAATAATAAATCTCTCTCTTTCTTTCATATAGAGATTTTGTCAAAAGATGCGTAATAAATGTCTCGAAGTTTTCGCTTCGACCAAGCCTGACCCAATTCGCACCTCCTAATATGCACACATAATAAACCTTGTAACAATGGCATTGCCTATCCGGTAATTATTGAACAATTTTGAAATTCATAATATTTACAGTGCGAGTTATTATTCGTTCATGATTAATATGGCATGAAACAAAAAACATTTGATATTCAGTCTTTGGTAAATTAATTTACTAATCACACCACCATGAAATTTATTTTACATATAAGTTATTATTTTAACCTTAAACGTGGTCAGCGTATGTATAGATACTGTTTGCCTGAAGAACCCTCTCTTTGCACAACATTTTGATGAGGTATATACATTTTGATTCGTACAAAACATTCATATAAGCGACTACTGCCTCTCAAGGTTTCAAACATTTTCGAATCGGCGAAGCACAACAATTTATTATACTCCGGGTGGTGGGGAGATTTTATATAACTATCCCAGCCCTGCAACGTTTTATATAATTTGATGTCAGTCTCTGACTAAACATACAACTCTAGTTTAGATTGAAAATAGCTTTATTGAAACTTCCGATAAAACAGAAAATGTGACAGAATTAATAAAAGCATGCAAAATATTAAATTATTTAAAATTCACAAAACATTTTTACTCATAATAGGAGTTGTGCTATTCAATAAGAATAAACGCGATATATCCCACTAAAAACGGAGATATGGAGCAATACTGTGTGCAGAAATAAAACAGTCATTCATAAAACTCTTCAAATTAATTACTCTTTGTTGCAGAGTTGTGGAAATATTTAAAATCGACTACGACTCGATCTGACTACAGATTATGAAAATTGTATTTTGAATCCCAAATTCGGATTGTAAATAATTTTAAATTCTATCTGCGAAATCGGAAAAAAATCAAATTTAGCTGGTAAAGCTCCAGCACACGCAACTCATCTTCGATAAAAGACTGTTAAAAACGGTTAGTAAGCATAATGTTTTTTTTACCAAGGTAAAAACACGACTCCGGCTCCTACTCCAGATATATAATTCTCCACATACCTGCTTTGATTTCATTTAACCAAAAAGCAACCAAGCAACTAGCCAGAATAATAACATTTTGAGCAGATACGATTAATGTCGCCCGTCACGTTTGAATAACCAACGTTATTACGAGGCGTGCAAACAAAAGATGTGTGCCAAATAGGCTATTTGAGTTCAATATACAAATCAAATGAAATTTTATCGGTGGTTGTCTGACCTTCAAGGCAAAATTTAAAATATATATGTACAATGGGATAATTATATTAAAAGGTGCTGATTCGGGATTTAAAGAACTATTTGAGTTGATTATATTTGCAGCGGTCAGCTGAATAAAGTGCATGGCCACGCATGGCCAACATTTAGCACTTTTGAAGTACTTAAATATTTACAACTTAACATTATATTTTTTATATCCCTTTGATGTACAATGTTCTTTATCGTGTCGATGGTCTGAAATTAATTGTGGCTTGTGGTAGGTACGTCATGTGCTGTTGATGGCGTCATATTACTTCTTGCGTCATGTCTTCCATCGACAGTATTCACGACTTGCAAGTTGTGAGATTCAGAAGATTCTGGCGTTTTTCTGCTAAAAAGGAAAAGTTTAATTATACGTTTTAGGCAATGATATTTGACGAGATTATTGAATTTGAAAAGACCGCAATCATGGTGATTCGTCGTTACCCATCAAGTTAATTACAGGATTTGAAGTCGATATTTTAACATGCGAATCCCAGCGCTTCACCCAACGAATCGGGGGGTGGTCGTGATCCAGCAGGCGAGCGCACAAAGACTTTTATGGGTCGCAAAGAGTAAAGCAGTTTCACACAAAATACTATATCTATAATATACTTTTTTAGATTTTTGATTCGAAACACATTTATTGAAACTTGTGCGAAACATAAATATCAAGATTTCGAGAGAACACATAAGATCAGAGAAGCGGCGCGCTTGCCTGACAATGCCGTTTTGATCGACCGAAAAGCAGCGCGCTTTTCGAAACAGGGTGTCGCAGGAAATTTCAATATATTGGAAGTAGAGGTAAGATTGGGGCTAAAATTTCAGCCCGGCCCGACCCAGGCCCGTGGGTATTAAACTCGACCCAGCCCGAGCCAGACTAATTAACTGGATTTGCAGGCCCGAGCCCAAAGCAAACCCGAAATTTCATATTCTATTTAGAAGTTTTGTGATTGTCATTGCAAAAGTTTAGTACAATATTTGTCGTATTGATGAGTATTCACAAATAGTTTTAGTATATATTTTTTGAAAACATATATTTATTTGAAAATAAAGATCAGCGATAGAGAAGCCCGCCCCACCCGACCCGAACGTAATGCTTGACATTTAAGGGCCAAATTTCGGGTCGCGGCGGACTCGGGCTTCAGAAATTAGCTCTAATTTAAAGGGGTAGCGATTTTAAAATTTTGGGAAGCCCTGTTCTACGCTAACGCGCCACATCAAAATCAGAATGTTTAATATCATATGAAACGTACAGCGTTTGTGAATAAGTGCATTTTACAACTGGGCACGTTGGCATTATTCTTTATTTCTCTCTCAAATATTAGACAAAACGCACTCGATTTAGAAGATTTTTATGAAGCATTTTGCTTGCTTTCACTACAAACAAGTAGGGCTGGGCATTTTCGAATATCTTGTGATTTC